CCAAAATTTAAAAAAAGTTTGCTACCAGGGTTCAAAAAGGCAACTGATCAGTTGCTATGGGTTGATCAAACACAGGCATTATACTTTTTAAACTTGACTTTTTGGATTTAACCTTCAACAGTGTAATTAAAATACTGTTAGTTCGTATTCTATAGATGAGAAACATTGGTTCTGAGAAGCTAAACATATGTTCACATACATACAGCTAAAAAGGTAGCAGAGCTGAGATTCATACCTAGATCTGAGTAACTCTAATGCATCCTTTCCATTATTCCCTATTAGTTCAGAAGATGTGAAATTTGAGGGGAATCTTGAAGAATAGGCTTCAAATAGAATGGTCAGAGGAGACCACTATAATGGGAAAGATCCCTAACAAAGGCATGAGACTAGGAAAATGCCAAGAGTGCTGGCGGTAAGAAATAAACCTGTGCAAAATGTTGTGGTGGAACTTATCAGACGGGGCAGAGAAAGTAGTTGGGGCCAGGTTAAGAGGGACCCTGACTGGCACCTGAGGAATTTAGGAACCACATATTTTTCATCAGGGGTCGGGGAAGTGAAATGGCCAAAGTGAAAAGCCATTTGGTGTTGTTGATCAATGGACTCTGTCACTGATATTTGTCAAGCTACTGTTGTTATCAAAGGCTTTTAAAATAATCAACAAATAAAAACAAAACAAGAGAAAAATCTTCATAGATTACTGCCAACAAAACAAATGATTAGAAAAGGAATTTAAATTTGCATACATTTCAGGATAAACAAAAAACAAACATCAAGAAAAAAACCTTCTAGAAAAAAATTGGGGTTTTTAATCACAGAAAAAATAATACTTATTTATCCTTTGCTTAAAGATAAATCAAAGTCCTAAAATAATCCACATGGCTATAAGGAATGAGTTAAATACTTTTTGACAGAAATGTGTTATTATTTGACTAATACATCTTTAGGGGATAAAATGAAGAAATATTAAAATGACAAGTCAACAACCCTAAATTGAGAGATACCCGTAAAGTGAGCCACCCATCAGCCTGTCAGTGGACTATTATGTTCTATTACAAACCTCTCCTTGAAGCAATTGGATTCAGACACATTACAGGTTAGGTAGACTTTTGTGGCTAGCCTGGAAATTCAACTGTCATTTATAACTTTGTTTCCATGGCAAAATGCCTTTGCAAGTTCTAAACAGCAGACTTTCAAATTAACTTTTGGAATATAACCCATTTGCAACTTAGGGACTGCCTGTGCTTTGAATGTAGATTGTCTATTATAACCAGGGCTTTAACTCTACTGAATCTCAGAGGATTTCAAATTAGTATCTTTCAAATCCATTCCCTTATTTGAAAAAAGGGGATTTAAAAAAGAAACGCACCCAGTGTGAAGAAAAGGCAAATCCAATGACTTTTTTCCACTGAGGGCCTGATTATAAAGAAGCAAACAAACATTTTGTCCATAAGAAGAAAGAGCAAAATGATGAATTAAAAAATACCTGAGCATTTACATAATGGATGACAGTATTTGTTATTTTTTTGCATACAATTTGTCTCTACAGTGCAAATGTAACACAATGAATGGAGTATATTAACCTCAAAATTCCTGCTTAAACTATTCTTAATGATGACCTTTGTGTGCTGTAGGTAAAATATTTCTAGACTAGAATTGTAAGGATTATTACAGTAATTTTCCATTGAACGGTACACACAAAAATGCAGGCAAAGTCCTATAAATGAAACCTGGTGTTAAAAGCTGTTTCTTCCCAAGTGAATGAAATATTTGTTGTTCTGGAAGAGGGTATAAAACATTCGATTTGCTTTCCCGTTAATTTTACTCTTCCAAATAATTCCTTTTTTTCCTCTTTAAGAAGAAAATAATTGAAATAGATACAATAAGCAAAATAAGAAATATTTCTCTGTTTTATCAACTCGTACTTTATTGAAGACGTTAGTTAAGCCATTAAATGCGGAGCTGATAGGTTTGGGACTCTATGCATGACATAAAGTTCTGGTTTTCAGTTAGTTAAGTAAGCTAATGAATGCTGGTGTTCTTAATAACGGCTCACTCATTATTGTACCCCTAGAATTCTTGTTTGTTTGCTGCTTTTATAAACTGGATTTCTTCCTGGTCCATTTATCACATAAGTGGTAAGAATAGTGCCATTCATAGTGAGGTCTTAAAAGTGTTTTTTCTACTGGATAGCCTAGGTATCTTTTGAAGTCTTAGCCTAACAGGTTGAAAGTTGTTATCTTTATTTAGAATTTACCTGGTCCTATATTTTTACCTATTGTTTTTTCAAATACTTCACTTTATATTTCTCATAATGACAACTGAAAGCCATCAGCCTGGGGGTCAAAAACTCTGGATGCTAGTTTACTCGTTCAGCGAGTACTTCCTGAGGGCCTTTTGTGTAGTGCATTTATTGCCATTCAGTTCTACAAGTGTTTTAATTTCTATTATGATTTTCTCTATGATTCATAGAAGTTTTAAGGAGTACATTTGTGTTTCTTTCCAAACATTTCAAATTCACATTTTATTTTTGAATTCTAATCTTTTTTTTTTTATCCTGGGCAAAGAACATGTTTTAAACAATAGCTGTTCTTTGAAGTTGCTGAACTCTCTTTGGTAATGTAATTTGTGGTCATTTTTAAAAGATGTGCACTTGGAAAGAATATATATTTTCTATTTGATGTAAAAGTCTATTCATATCTACCGGATAAAGCTTGTTAGTTTTGTTGTTCAACTCCTCAATATTCTTATTAGTCATTTTGAGTTAGAGCTCTCAGTTTCAAATCTCCCATTGAGGTTGTCAATTTGTCCTTTTCTCCTAGTAATTCAGTAAGATATTGCTTTGTATATCTGGGGGCTATGCTTTTAAGTACATACACGTTGAAGACTGCTATATTTTCTTGGTGTAGCATTCTTAGTATTATTCATTGTCTCACTTTATCTTATTAATACTTTTTGCCTTCAATTCTGTTATGGCTCATTTTATTTTTGCTGTTACAATGTTTTTCTGTTTGTCTGGTTTAGCATATATCATTTTTCTATCTCTTTATTTTTTGTCTCTCTGTGCAGTTATGTTTTATGTGTGTCATGCATATGCATCATAGAGTTGGACTATACTTTCTGATAATCTCTACCATTTTATAGGTGAGTAAAATCTATTTACATTTATTGGATTATTCATCTATTTAGACATATTTCTACACTCTGTTGTATGTACCATGTTTTTATTTGCTTTCTCCCCTATTTCTGCTTTCTAATGGATTAAATAAAGTTTTCCATGTGCCCCATAATTTTCTCTGTTGGCTTGGAAATTATAAGTTATTTTTCTGTCCTTTTAATGTATTTACTTATTTATTTCTATTTCTATTTCTGTCCTCTTGCTGAGCACACCACCAGTTCTGGCACACTTCACTCTTTAGTGTATGTAACTCCGCTGTCTCCTCAATGCTCCCATTTTGTTACATCTAAAGTTTTAATGTATTTCTTAATTAAACATAAAAAAAATCTGTGTATTAATTTGTACTTAGTTATTCACATTTACTGACATATTTTTAGCTATTTCTGTGCTCCTTGTTGCTTCTCAGCTCCTATACTTTCCCTCTATGTTCATTTTTCTTCTTGTGGAACGAAGCATGTAGTTTAACAGCTGTTTTAGAGAAGTTCTGTGAAAATTGTGGACTGGATCAAATGGTTCCTAACTGTATCTTACCCAGATACATATTTTTGTAATAAATATCTTATAATGCCTTCTTTACCTCATGAAATAAAATGCATAGCTAATGTCACTTAACAATATATAGAATGTCTAAGCAATCAATATAATGTCATAACTGCTATATAATGTATTAGTAAAAGGATAGTAAGTTATCAAAAATAATGTACTTTTTGACATGTAAATAAATGTTTGAATATGACCACACTAGAAGACATTAAGAAGTAGTTACATGCTTTCATCTACTTACACTGTTCAAGTTTGGATTTAAGAGAAGGAAAACAATATTCAGCTCAATATTACCGGTATTGTTGCTTTCTATTTTTATTTTACATTTTATCATTTATCTTATTAACTATTTATTTTATATGTTACTTGATGTTTGACATTTAAATAAATATGGCTATGCACACCTACTTATGCACATCCATACGTAGAATCATATGAATGTAATAGCTACAAGATGCAGGTGTTTTGTTATTTGAGACTCAGATTCCTTCAGTGGCTTTGCTACCGGTGACATAATTTTCCAAAATGGTGAACAATCCTTAGTAAAGTTTTTAACAAAACAAATGACAAGTATCCCTCCCTCAATGTACATCATAGTTGCCTTCCTAGATAATTCAGCATGTATTATTTTTGTGTTCCTGTGTAAAACAGAGATAGATTTTAGGTTCAGGAGACTATAGAGAGGATTTTCACCTACCTGTGTATATGGTAGGACATTAGAGAGTCATGCAGGACAGTGCAGTGTTTTGTAGTATGAGACTTCCTCTGCACACTACTGACCATCCAACATTCCTGGCCCTCCTGTCCTCTAATGGCCAATAGCATCCCCCCAACTATTGTCATAATTCAAATTGCCCCTTCACATTTCTCACATGCATCCATCTGAGGCCAACTCAACTCAGTAATCTCCTAGATAGGGGCTCTTAATGTGGGGTCCACAGAGACACATGTGATTTCAGGAACTTCCATTAACTTGGAAGGAAAAAAAATACATATGCTTTCATGCTTGATATGACAAACAAGTTGCTTTGCCAAAGACCTCTGTTAATATTCTATTCAAGCTGAGCAACCATAACCTTCACATTAGTGTAGCTCTGTATATATAATGTATTATATATTTGCTTGTTATTTAGTGCATTAAGAAAAGCACATAACAGTGCTGAAAATTTACTTCTTTTTTGCAAGATGTTGATAACTGTATTTCAATATAATTGTTTTATGTATTTAAAAACATTATTTTTAGAAGTGAGGTTTATAGCTTCATTAGATTACCTAAGAGGTCTTTCACACAAAAAGTGGATAAAGTCTCAGACCCAGGGCTTCAACGTCTTTGTGTTGTTTTGCCTACATCAGCACCATGGGATGGATTCAGAGCCAGGACCTCAGGGAGGGAGTGTCCAAGAAGGGGTTAAAATCAACATAATTCAGAAATGTAGTTAGACTGCTACAAGGCAGGAATACAAGAAAATATTGATAGGGTCCTGGATAGTCTTTTTGATCCAGTTTCCCTTCCATCAAGCTAGACCTGGGGTTCTCAAATTTTGACGTGCATAAGAGTTCTGAAGAGCATGTTCAGAAGCAATGGTTTAACTGAATAAAATCACAGGGGGTAGAGTATCGTACTTGTGGTGCATGGGATTCATACACCAAACTCTGAGCAACCTGGGCTACACGTGAGCCTCTTGTACAGTGTTTTAAAAAGGCCGGTTAGCACCTGACACACATGGCATTTTACCACTCCGTTGCTCTGAAAAATCCTCCCCTTATTTTATCGTCTTGGTGTACTTTTACATATCTTTCAAGCTAGGGCACAGGTAGGCTTCTCTACATTCCTTTCCAAAGCTCTCCCACCCCTCTCATATTCCTTTATGCATTTCTCAGTGTATTAGGGATTTTTATATTATATTAAATTGTTTATTTGAACATCTGTCACTAGGCTGAGATCCTTGAGGGCAGGAAAATATTTCTGTGATTGGTTTTTTTCCTGTCACACCTTAGATATTTGTTAACTTGCAGTGAAAATGAAAAAAAAAATCTCTTTTCATTGAGAATTCTCATAGACTTTATTCTAAAATCAATCTCTTATACATTTGGACTTCTCTTTCTATATAAAAGTTATCCATCTTGTCTTTTCCTCTCTTAGATCAAATTTCTTGGGAATATGTACGTATACATTCACTTACGTACGTAAAAAAAATACCACATATTAGTTACTGTGGCAGAGATGGTTGCCTTCCTAATGTGCATTGTCCCTTCCTTATGTGCAAGCCAACAAAACAAAACAAACTTGTATTTCTCAGTCCTCCTTGCAGAAGAAGTCAATCATGTTCCCAATTCTGAGGTGGGAGCAGAAATTTTTGAGTAGGACCTCCAGGAAAACCCATAAAAGGAGTTAGCTGGTTTGAACATTTTTGCCCTTTTCCCTCCTATCTTCACCTTCTTTCCACCTGGAGCGTGGTTACCGCATTGGGAGGTGAAGTGGTCATCTTGGGACTAGGATGGCTGAGTGGAAGGATGAAGGAATTTGGATACGGATTGCATCATGGAGCTGCTGACCAGCCTTACATTTTCTACTTCTAGACTTCTTGCAGTTAGAGAAAAATGAAAGCCTAATTTATTCAAGCTACTCTTCCCTTTTGCTCTTGCCTGCCTGCCTGCCTGCCTGCCTGCTTGCTTGCTTGCTTGCTTTCTTTCTTTCTTTCTTTCTTTCTTTCTTTCTTTCTTTCTTTCTTTCCTCGGGCCTCTCCAAGACTAAGTTATAAAGTGGCATCAATGTCATGTTTATAAAAGTCATATATATGTGTATATATAAAAAATAATATATATATACACAGCTATCTATGAAGATGTTTACCATGGGATTTTAGATTATTTTTACTTCATTCCTTATACTTTTATATTTTGTTTGCATCTCTTTCATGACTGTATGTGTGATCTTTATAATAGCAAAAACAGTAACACAACTTTAAAAAGTGAGGTATAATAGTAAGAACGTTCTTATTAAAAACAAAACGTCTTTTCCTAAGAATATTATTTAATGAAACACACTTTTTTGGTAATGAAGCAAAGGACAAACTTTTAAGTCGTCAGAAAGGATTTGTACTTGTTCTTTCATTTTTTTTTAAATTTTTTGGGAGAGGGGATGTAATTAGGTCTATTTATTTACCTATTTTTAGAGGAGGTATGGGGGAATTGAACCCAAGACCTCATTCATGCTAAGCATGTGCTCTACCACTTGGACTATACCCTCCGCCCATACTTGTTCTTGTATTTGGTACTCCCTCTGGGAGCCCCAAGATGCCACATTAAAGTCTGACTGGACCACTGTGATGGAAAGAAAGGCCACATACAGATGTATGTCCTACCTGAGTCTGGCCTCCCAGCCATTGCCACCAAGGCACCAGGAGGTAGTTGAAAGCATCTTGGACCCTGTTACCTCCACATAGAACGAAAAAATCACCCAGCTGATCTCTGGCCCGCAACATCATGATGTATAATAAAATGATTTTTTGTTAGAGGGAAAAAAAAAGGTCTTGAATTTTCACCATTCTCCTCCCTTGGGACAGTGGTCCTGCCTATCCTGGTGTCCATGTCTAAGGCTGAAGCCTTACTGTCTAAGGGTGGCTCTCCTACACGGTGTCTGGAGCCTGCCTGGGACTGAGGCGATTGTGTCTGTGTTACTCTTTGTCCTATCCCACCTCGTTTACAAGCAGCCATTTAAAAATCTTCCTATTGTTAAACACAGGAAGCCACAAAATGATCAGTATGTTTAAGAAGAAGAAAGGGGACCTTGACTAAAGTAGACAGGATTTAGTGTAGTTTTAAAGAGAACGTGTACTGAAGTATACAATCAGCACTGTGAAAATCACCAGGGCTGCTGCATTGCAGCATCTTAGGATTTTATGTTGATAGAACCCCTTGCTGTTACGTAGCAGTAATAGCAGTAGTGGTTTGGGAGGCACTTTGGGAAAATATAATGAAACGTAAGGGAGACAACTGGATTAGGCGGGGTTCTCCAGAGAAACAGAACCAACAGGATATATGTGGCTATGTAGATAAAAGAGGAAATTTATTATACGAATTAGCTCACATGATTTATTATAGAAAGTCCCATAAACTGTGTCTGCAAGCTGGAGAACCAGGAAAGCCTGTGGGGTAATTCCTGGGGTAAAGACCCGGGAACCAGAGGAAGCCAATGGTATAAGTCCTGATCTGAATCAGAAGGCTCCAGAACCAGGAGCACTGATGTGTGAGGGCAGGAGAGAATAGATACCCCAACTCTGGCAAAGAGAGAAAAAGTTTGCCCTTCCTCTCCCTTTTTGTTCTATTTCAGGCCCTCAGTGGATTGGATGATGCCCGTCCACAGGGTGATTTTCCTTACTCAGTCTTTTCAAATGATAATCTCTTCCAGAAACACCTTCACAGACATACTCAGAAATCATTTTTTTTTCTTTTAACATTAGCCATCACCACAGCCTTTCCTCAGAGCACTTATAATCTAGCCTGGGAAGGCAAATATATTCAGACAGCAAGGTAACCAATAATGTTTTCATCTTACATGCATGTCTTATATGTAACTTGTGTTTAATAAGTGCCTTCGGATTTCACAGATGGGAGATAATCACTGACCCAGGAAGCTCCTGGAGAGAGTGTTATCCTATTGGTCCTTGAAGGTAGGCAGGAAGTCTTATAGGCACATATTAGGGGAAAAAAAATGCCTTCTCTCTTCCAGAGGAGTTCATTGAACTAGAAATTCTTTACTTAGTAAGTTAAGTAAAATTTTTTTACCCTTAAAATTTCTTTTTCCTACCCCATAATTTGTATAATGTTTCTCTTAGAGGTGAAATTTACATTATAAGAAGTATTATACATAGATATTGTAGTTAGCTTCTCAATGGAGAAAGCAGGTTTATGTAGTTTTGATAAGGCTCAAATTTGTGGTATGAAAAATAAATTCTTAAGTTAGCTTGATCTAGAATCTGTTGTTGTGAAATTTAATGTTTATAAATGAAACAAGAGAAATCTAAGTTCTTTAAAGGTTTTTATTTTCTAGGTACTTATTCAAATCTTTCTTCATATATTAGTGTTATTTAATTACGATGTTAAAAATTAGGTGAGTCCAACTCAGGAATAAGGAGCCAGGTTCTCAGGCTTTTCTTGGTTTAAATAACTTCTTCAGCTCCTAGCACAAAGCTGTTCGCACATCATAGTCTCAATACTTAATTGCTGAATGAATGACTACATGAATAAAGAACAAAGAAGGTTCAGAGGGAAAAAAATTAGCAAAACCTGGTGAACACATTCTGGTAAATATTTTGGCTGCTAAAGCTGAAACCAAACCATCTTGTTTAAGAATAGATGGCTTAAAATTACACACACAAAATCAAGTTGCTTGTTTTTAAATGTATCTTGCTCTTTCCATTTCTTTACAGACTCATTGTATTCCCTGGTTATGCTAGAACTAGTTGTGTATTCTCTGGTTAAGCTAGCTTTCAGGCTTAAACTTCTAATAGTTCATTGTGACTCACTATACTCTTTAAAAACAAAGAAATGACAAAGGTCCTGAAGACAACCATCACAAAATATAAAGTGAATTAGCAATTAACTAAAATGTTTTTTCCCTTGCTTGCATTTTCTAAGGTTTTTGCAAGAAGCATATATTTCTTTTGTAACAATAATAAAAAGAATATTAAACTTTATTGAAAAACATAGTAGATCTAAAAGGACATTAAAGGGCTCAGGATTTTAACTAGTCACTCTACGATTTTATGGGGTGATTGCAGATCAATTATTTTCTTGGTATTTTCCACTCTCACTGCATTTTAACATGTGTCATTCAACAATTTAGCTAGGTTGGAGGTAAGAGGCTCTCCTGGCCTGCTGAGAACAGATTCAAGCAGGTAGTTAGTTACTGTATTTAAAACTCTTTGAAGAAGAAAGCCATTATTTAAGTATTAAGCATTATTATGAACATCCTGCCTTTTAAAAGCTCAAAGAGAAAGACAAAAGGACCTGTCCTTATTAGTATTTCCAATTAAACTGGGAAGGATAAATTATTTCCAAACCATCTAATCTTTCCTCTGTGCCCCCACCACTCCCTCTGCTATATTTCAGTCACAGCTACACTTGGGGAGAGACATGAATCCAACCTCTAATTTTCCTTTTAGCTCTAATAAACACATTCATCACAGGGTCTCCCTGCATGTTGGTTTGTACGCACAATCTTAGAGGAATCAGTTTGCTTCTGCTAATGAGGTTTAACAATATTCTCATAAGTGATACTACTTGCCCCGCACCCCCGCCCCCCAACCCAGTTGAGTGGGTAATACAAGAACATGTGGCTATTTAGTTGAGGGTCTCATAGAGCATTGCGCCAAGTCCTTTAACTGTGATATGGTGATGTCAATTTGTCTGGGTATAATAATCATTCCTAAAAGAGTCATCAACTATACCTCTAGAGATTAGTTACTGGGAAGTTTTTATCCTTTTTCAGGGAATTAGCAACTATCTTAATATGATTGCCAGTTTAATTGAATTATTAGACCCTTTGCATGAAGCCATTTTTTTGTTTGTTTGGGGTTATTTGGGGGGGATAATTAGGTTTATTCATTTATTTATTTAATGGGGGTACTGGTGGTTGAACTCAGGACCCCATGCATGCTAGGCAAACACTCTACCACTGAGCTACACCCTTCTCTGAAGTCAATTATTTTTACTTGTGAGCTTGATGCTGAACCAGCCGTCCCCCATAGCTTTCAACTTCCTGAGTTATAATTCCAAAGTTCTCCAGCTTTAAACTGGCCAAAGAGCTCATGATTTGATATAAATTACATTTTGAGGGGTATAAATTGAATTTCAAAATAATGTTAAGGGTCCCCAAATAACAACTTTGAATATCTGTCACAAGTACAATGATTCAAAAAAGGGTATGTCTAAATAGATTAGAGACTCAGCAGAGACCATCATAAATTTAGACTGGATAATTAGAGGATAAAAATTTTGGCCCAGTGGGATGTGTTTTGAATTTAACACCAGTTATTTTTGGTAGAAGGTTGAGTGTGAATATTTCAAATGAAATGGCACCCACCATGTTAAATTACCTGTTCTAAAATGAGAACCTTCATTCTCTTCATGAGACTCCCTTTTAGAAGTATGGTGTGATAAATAAAATTTTAGACTGCATTCTAAATTGAAAGTATGAAATCCCATCTTTAATTACTTGAGAAATCAAGGGTTTGCAAAATCGTGGTTACTCAAAGGCTGTTTTGCTTCACATGTGTAAATGTATAGATTCCATAAAGACCAAACTTCTTGCTTAAGTACAAGGGTAAAGAGTTTCAGTTAAAAATATAATTTCTTTCTGAATGTATGAATTTAAAAGCCTGAACTCATTGCATGTTGGGTAGTTTGGTACCTGTAACAGCAGCCTCAGATGAAGAGTCCACTGCATTCCTCAAGAAGGATCATCAAGAACCTGATGGCATCATCTAGAATATCTAGGGACCACGTTACTGTCACCTGGGAACTCTAATAAGGTGATTGAGACAAGCCATCATGAGTCATTGAACTTAGTTTATTGATCACAGAATATAAATGTAGGCTAGGTAGAAGGGAATATATCAGCGTCCACTCAATTAGTGTGGGAAATCATCTTAAAAAGAACTCAGGAGTTGAGGGCACCCTAATACTGACAGACACTCCCCCAACCTTGCCCTCATACTTTGGTCCCCACTCAGATTCTCTCTTCAGGAATAACACTCCCCTCCCCCGGCTGCTGGGCGTATTGGCTGCTGTGAGCTCACACTTCATTTCTCACAGGAGCTGCCACAGGGAACTGTTCCTTTACCAAGGAACTACTCCCACTAAGTGCCAGCTTGTGGTCAATGACTGGATGGTATGGGGAGAAAAGGTCCAGCCCCCATCCCTCAGCATGGGACAACCCCCCAGTTCCAGAGCTCCTTAGAGGATTGGCTGAGGCCTCAACTGCAACAGCTTGGCAGGTCAGGTTCTCTGCTTTCAACTTCCGTCTTCATGGCCTACATGTGTGTTTCCCGAGAGCACTCTCCAAATGAACTTTTTGCAGTCGACACCTCATCTATCCCTATTTTCAGGGAAGCTGATTTAATACAGATATTGTCATCATGGGCTGGCCTACTGTGTTGGCAGAGCATGTGGTTACATATATTGACCTTCTGGTCAAAAGCTTGCCCAATTTGATGTTCAATATTACCATGGTCAAACCATTTCTTCGATTAGTCCTAAAAGCCTATGTTTTGCAGGAAAGTTTCATAGCAGAAAACAAGCCCCCACATAGAAGACAGTCTAACATATAGATAAGATTGGATGAGCTGAGGCAAAGGGAAGGGAGCAAAGATCTCCTGCAGCCTGCTCGGGAGGAGAGTGCATAATGGGGTTCCCTGAGCTAACTGGTATTGTGTTTGTGTAGGAGGTTGTATTTGTGGGAGGAACGAGGAAAGTCGTGGAGGACAGTGGGTACCTGGAGTCAGAGATGCTGAGAGGACAGCAGTGGAAAGGGAGCAACTTTGACAATTCTGGCTTTAGGGTAACGCTAAAGTGAATTTACTGTTGACCACTACAGCCCACAGAAGAAGTTTCCCCTTTTGGACTCCTTTTCCCACTCATTTTAGTACTGAATCTTTTGTCTTATGTCATTTAAATCTTTAATAGGAGTATCCTTTCCTCATACTTCTTTTGAACACTTACAGGACCAGCACAGAACTATGCACATCATAAGGGTTCAATAAGTACCTGCTGAATGAATGAGTGAGTGAGTGACGAGGTAAATGTAAGATGGAAAGATTACCAGGTTAGAAACAAACACACATTTATGATCCAAAGTTTCTATAGCTTTAGTTTCAGACACTTTTAAAATGTGGGATTTAATACAATGTTTTTTGATAGGAAGCAATGGATAGATACAGTTCTATGCTGACTGACTCCAAATGGTATTTTTGAGATGGCACTTTTAGTCGCAAATTGCTAATGGCAGAAATATCTTGTCATAGGAGATAACAGAATTCACGTAATTTCAGTACATGCCACAGCTCAGTGTGAGAAAAGAGACCCACTGAAGTTTTACATATGTTCTCTACACTCTGAGCCCTAAATGAATTCTTTTTGTTCAGGTGGTTCTGGAGGCCCCTTCTCCGATTGAGCACAAGGTTCTGCCTTGAAAGAGAACAAAGGTGCGGGCTGCAGAGCACTTCTGGAGGCTGACATGGCTGTAAAATGACTCCATTTCCAGATGAACCAACTGGGCTCCTGTTTCTCTTGGACAAAGTCTTGGTACATTCCTTTGTTCTGCCTAATCCCATGGACCAAATACTCAGGTGAAAACATTTTTAGGAATAGTCTGAAATGAGGATAATAACCATTTACTTTTACCACACTCCACTTTTCCAGGAAAGATATTTCTTCTTTAACTGATGCTTATTAAGAACATTCCATACTTGCTTCTTCCTCCAAATCAAATGTTGAACTAAAAAATATTAAAATCAGTTTGCATGGATTCGCAAAGTAAAAACCTGTGGGCTAAATCTTCTATAGGATTACTTAAAACAGATAGAAATGTGAATGAGTGTAATCGCGAGCTGAATAATGACCTCTTTTTAAAAGGTTAAAGCATTTATGTTTGCAGCGCCTCCCCTGAGTTTGTAGCCACAACCCTTGAGGTGGTCTGTAGTGACATTATTCATTTGAAGTGGGACAAGCTATTTTAAAAAGGCATATTTAAAATCACATTCAATACATTGAATCTATGTTGAAAAATTATTAATCATTTAAAATAGTAAGAGCTTGATTAGCTAGAAACATTAGTTAACCTGAAATGCATTTGTCACACTCTGTGGTTCGGTAGGACAGACGTTACAGAGAGCTGGTGAGGATAGTGACAATATCAAAAGCAACTTCCAGAGGAAAAGTTTTCTTCAACAAAGAGTATGCCCTCTTTGGCTCATAAAAAATATATGATTGAACTCTCCAAAGTTTTAACCCAGTGAGCATGACTGAAGTAATTTTGGCCAAGAAAAATCTCAATAATGCTCCCATAGAATATTTCTTTTTTTAAACAAAATAGCTTTCTGATGAACTCACCATGTAATTCAAGTTACTATGTGGATGAATGTTTTGTTTGGAACTAAGATACAGGAGTCAATTATCTTTTGGAGGACATATTTTAAAGACAGTTTTAGTTTCAAAGACTTATATGAAGTCTTTTTTTTCCTGAAGATAATCAGGTACCAAAAACATTTAAGTAAAATAAACAAGTAAACAAGTAGAATACAGCAAAACAAAATAAAAATATCATTAGCACTATTGGAGGAGAGTGGAAACCATGCATTTAAATAATTGAAATATAAATTGAATTATCTCATCTAAACTGTAAGGGGATTTTCCATTTGACCAATAATATTAAAACACAGGCTGATCATTAAAAAGTCCACAAAGGATAAATGCTGGAGAGGGTGTGGAGAAAAGGGAACCCTCCTACACTGTTGGTGGGAATGTAGTTTGGTGCACCCATTATGGAAAACAGTATGGAGATTCCTCAAAAAACTAGAAATACACTTATTCTATCATCCAGCAATCCCATTCCTGGGCATATATCCAGGGGGAACTCTAATTCTAAAAGATATTTGCACCTGCATATTCATAGCAGCACTATGTATAATAGCCAAGACATGGAAGGAACCTAAATGTTCATTGCCAGATGACTGGATAAAGAAGTTGTGTTATATTAAAACAATGGAATACTACTCAGCCATAAAAAGAATAAAATAATGCCATTTGCAGCAATATGGATGGACCTGGAGATTGTCATTCTACATGAGGCAAGCCAGAAAGAGAAAGAAAAATACCATATGGTATCACTCATATGTGGAATCTAAAAAAACAAAAAAGAAGACACTAATGAACTCATCTACAAAACAGAAGCAGTCTTACAGACATAGTAAACAATCTTATGGTTACAGGGGAAAGCAGGTGGGAAGGAATAAATTTGGGAATTCGAGATTTGCAAATATTAACTACCATATGTAAAAATAGATAAAAACAAATTTCTTCTGTATAGCACAGAGAACTATATTCAATATCTAAAAACCTTTAATGAAAAAGAATATGAAAACGAATATATGTGTATGTATGTATAACTGAGACATTATGCTATATACTAGAAGCTGACACATTGTAACTGTCTATACTTCAAATTTTAAAAAAAGTCATAAAAAAGACAGGCTGTATATGAGGACCAATAACTTAAATTGCGTTCATGTTGCATTGTCCATAACCAGCTCTTGTTTCTCAAACCAATGCAAACTAAAGGGAGCAAGAGGTTTTTAGATTTATGTTATTCTTTTTTTAAAATATATTTTTATTGAAGTACAGTCAGTTTACAATGTTTTGTCAATTTCTGGTGTACAGCACAATACTTCAGTCACATAGGAACATACATACTTTCGTTTTCATATTCTTTTTCACCATAAGTTACTACAAGATATTGAATATAGCTCCCTGTGCTATACAGTATAAATTTGTTGTCTATCTATTTTATATATATTACTTAGTATCTGCAAATCTCGAACTCCCAATTTATCCCTTCCTCCCCTGGTAACCATAAGTTTGTTTTCTATGTCTGTGAGTCTGTTTCCGTTTTGTAAATAAGTTCATTTGCCTTTTCTTTTTTTTTGGATTCCACATATAAGTCATATGTGGTATTTTTATTTCTCTTTCTGGCTTACTTCACTTAGAATGACATTCTTCAGGTTCATCCAGATTTATGTTATTCTTGACAGCTTTCTCTGCAAGGTAAATAATATGACAATAATCAGTAAATATCTAATAGTGCTTGAATCCTTTTGCTCCTCCAACAAGAACAATATAATGAGCTGAGGAACCCAGATCTGAAGTTTGAGAAGGAAAAGTGATCTAATTTTTGGACAGAATGTTCAACAAACTGATACATTTGAATTTTTTGGGAGGGAGGCATGCTGAGAGTTTTCCCTTTGAAGAACAGAGAGACCACATTTGCATCCTTCTATACAGATCATACCTGTGAAGGCAGTTGAGGTGAACAGCTAAGTGCTACAGTTTATTTATTGATTGGCGCAACTTTGAATGGTTCTGTGAGACAGAAGTCTTTAGCTATGTGTGCCATTTAATTTGAAAATTTTAATCAAATGAGTAATTAAAATGGCTCTCTTCTAAAAGAAAACTCATTATTTGCCCCAAATTCTCAATTTTTACTTATGTGATTGCTCAGAATTTAAGCATGTATTTTAAAGGTAAGTAGATGAAGTTACTTCCCTTCACTATGATCTATAAAATAGATCGGGGAATAGTTTTCTTCTCTGTGTAACTCTCTACCTTTTCTATCTTTAATCGAATTGTTCTGGCTAGCTGCTGTGATCTGTTGTGTCATGGGGATGAGTAGAATAATTTCTTAATTGGGGTCTGAACTGAAAACAGCTTTTCCATCAGGCAGAAACAAAGGTGCCACAGCAACTTCTGGGTCAGATTATGAAACACAGTTGTGGTTACCCAAGGACATTTATGCTTAAACTCTTCCATGGCCAGTGTCACTCACAAAGTTAGTGTGTTATGAGCCTTTCTTTTTGAAGCCGTTTCCCGAATAACAATATCTCCAAGTCTATGTCATTAATTGCTTCTAATGGTCAGAACCAGGACCTCCCACACTGACTTATTACAGATCTTTGCAGATGATAATGAGATTCAGACTTCATTAGCATGATCCATGTGCAGTATCCTGTCAAGAAGCTGGGTACCCAAGGATGGAAATGCATGTCTTGAGTTGTCTCTTTCAATTCCCATTTTGCATGCACCTTTGCTATCTTGACTTCCAACAGTTTTCTGCATGAAGAAATAGGTCTGCAAGGCTTATGTTTGGGGAAAAGGAGGAAAGCATCACTCTCAAGGCAAGCAAAAGGAAAACTGCAAAACAAGTGCCACTGAACTCATATACTTAGAAGTTTCTGACGGAATTGGAGAGCTCTTTCTTTCAAGACAACGTTTGTATTGTGTTGCAGGACAGTCAATACAGGATTCAACTTTATTTCCTGTACTCTGTTTACTCAGAAAGTGGATCATATGTACATAAAATCCCAAGTTCTTCTTTTCTCCAGAATCCTAACTCAGATGATGACATCAGCATCACATAGTCCCCAGGTCATCGCCTCCAGTGTTGGTCCCTGAATCATGGCAATTCTACCACCCAATCATCTTTTGAGTCTGTTTGCTGTTTTCTACCCTAACTGCCATAGAGAAGATTCAGGTCCTCATCATCTCTGTCCTGGACTACTGCATAGACTGGGGTTGTCTCGATTGGCCCCATTTACCTCCAATGCACCCCTCTTCAGTCTGTTCTCTACTCAGATTTGTCTTTTCAGGACAAAAGATTGATGGTGTCCCTTCTCTTTTTTAGAACCTTCCTCATTGATGACGTAGCCTTTCGTTCCATCTTTCATATTCATTTCCCACCCCTTTTCCACACACCTAGGTCACATAGTATGCTCTTTGTACTTCTCTCCCCTCTTGCGTATGCATCTATCTGTGTGGAATGCCTTTCACCCTGTTTGTCTTGTTTTGTTTTAAGATGCTGTTCCAGTATCACATCCTCTAATTCTTCTGCTGTTTTCTCTAAGCAGAGCAGGTTGTGCTTTTCTCGGTTCTTCCAGTGTAGTTCGTATGTCTTTCCAATTTTACTAATCATTTTATCTTCCAATTATTTGATTATGTTTTGTTTTTCTCTTCTATGTACTAAACTACTGGAGAGAAGGGGCTATCTTATTTATTATTGTATCTCCAGGCGTAGCATATTGACTGATCCAGAGCTGCCACTCCATAAATGTTTGATGAATGAAGAAATAAGAGTTGATACATTCCTGCAATTTATTTATTAGGTTTGTATAGGCTATGGCATCAGCAGCAATGTGCTGTTATGCACAATAGTGATAACAATAACATAACCAGAATTTTCTTACTACTTTGTAGTCCACAGAGGAAAGCCGCGGATATGCATCTAATTTGCCTGAATTCTGGAGATGAAGTCGCATAATTCCCCAAAATACTGGATGAGAAAATTGTACATGGCTCAGGAGAACAATGTATTCTTTGACATTAGCTACGAAAGCTTTCTCAGAACAAAAATGTAAATTCTCCTTGCCGCTGAGCTTTTTTCCTCTGTCCCTTGCCTACAAGAGATCACATTTTTCTTTTTGTACACACAGTATTTTTAGAGCACTCTGCTGTTACGAAGCATTCCACAACCCCTAGTTAACCTATTTAGATCTCAGTGTTCTTATCTGTATAATGAGGCTAATGGTACTAAGCTGTTCTCCCAGGGATGTTTGATTAAATATGTTTTTTGACATTGCACAGACCTTGCACATATCAGCAGAGATTTTCAAAATAAAATGTTCTATATGCACAGAAAATTGTTTCGTTTGGCATTGTCTTAAAAGCAAGCACATTTCCAAGAGGAATGTTTGCACCATCAGCAAACATTTCTAAATGGATCTAAGGTAAAAATTGTTATGACTGCAGTGAAAATTTTATTTGGGGTTGATAAGATAGGCAAGTATTTCAAAACATCTCCACCCATAATTTTTAATGGGAAAAGCAAGGCTTGGGGGAATGTGAGATAATTCTATCTTTGCTCAGTATACTGGCTGTTATAGGGGATTTTCTAATATTTTTTACTCCAAGACAGGCTTCTGTTGGGTTGTGTCTTCACACAGGGCCTTGACAATTCCAGTGGGAACAGAGCCCAGAATTCCTGATGGCATGCCCTGCTCTGACAATTTTCCTGTCATTCATGTGGCAAGAAGGCCTGGGTTGATCTCCCACACATGCAGAGCTAGACTGACTTCAGTAGATGGGGTCTCTTTTTCTATAATTGGTTATTCTGTCCATCTGACCTCTCTTCTGCCTCTACTACTTTTTTGGTGACAATTGCCAGTTTTTCTCCTAGCAAGAGATAGACCAGACAGACAGAGAGGAGAACCCTATAGAAAAGGAGAAAATGAATGGAAACCAAGAAAAAAATATAAACAAAACATATCCTAAAATGCTTCTGAGAGGCTAAAAAGTGATAGCATGAATTTAGACACCCCCCCCAAATTAGAGGGTAATATTCCAACTCACACTTTCTTATCATC